CTTCAGTATCGCAATTATCCCAGATAGATATAATTTAAACGATTCCATCAATCTGATTAACTACAGACAGATAGAGTTATTTGTTTAAGAGCAGGAAATTGTAATAACTTAATAAAACCCTCAATATATTTACTTATATCTAGCAATATATAAATATACAAGTTCATTTACTTATATCTAGCAATATATAAATATACAAGTTCATGAATGCAAATTTATTCACAGTTATTGACTTCAAATGTGTTGTGCAAAAATAATTATTACAATATTATGAAGAAAATTCTAATTCTATAATCAAGTATTTATTTTTAACTCATTGTCAGTGAAAGGATCTTTTAGATTAAAAATAAATTACTGCCTCTCAATAATGGCGACACTTTTTTAAACATTGGAGGAAGAGAAAAGCAAATATTTATTCTTTCGGAATGTACGGCCGCTTTCTTCGTCTACTTTATTAAGGAATTGGCAAAAATATTTCGAGAGTGGCTACTTGACGTGAGACTAGCAAATTCACTTAAGTTGAATGGACAGACTAAGCGGTAATAGAAAAATCGAGGTTAAAAATGGTCATTGCGGTGAAGGAGAGAACAAATTGTTACATAAGCGAATGATAGCGAGAGTTCTTGCTACTGACTACACCGTTTTCTTGAAATCTGAGATAATTCGGCGAGACAATTCGAGCAACAGGGCAATTACGTTAATGGTAAAATGCGAATTGTGAACCGATTTTCTTATTTGTTTTCACTTTCATTAAGTTCTTATACGTTCTTAATAACCTAATTAGTTTTTACATACATTTGCAATAATTTGATATTGCTATATGAAAGCAAATTAAATTAATAATTAATTTAAGAAGAAATTCGGAAAATGCTCTAAGAAATATCTCTAGTTTAATATAAAATTATTTAATAAATACAAATAAACACATACACACAATATAAACAGTTTATACTGTATTATGCATATATGTTATCACACAACATTTATGGATTAATTGGTGTTCCGCACTGTTACTCACCCAAATTAAATATGCAAATATTGGTAAATTAATTACTCTCCTTTTCCAACCTTTCTATTTTTCTGTTCTCTTTTCTCTCTGTTTTGTTTGTCCTCTGCTTTCTTTGCAGTTAAAATGATTATAGTTGTCAAAGTGAACACATGCGTAAACAAACACGGATTGCTCATTCTGCGGAAATATTCACGTACACCAATTATAATGTTAAATTGTTTACAGAGGCGCGCGTATATATGTATATATGTATGTTTCGCCCATGCGCCACCGCGTTTAATTTGATAATTAATACCAAGCGGTCGCTTCATAATTCAGTTATAAATTCCGCGAATCATGTTTCTTGATTGCGGCAGCAATTTCGATTCGACGGCACGATCATAATCGGTATTTGTTGAATCGTGAGTGCAAATAAGACTGCGATAGATGGAATTAATCGAGGCCGGATAATCGAATTTATGGTACTATTAATAAACATTATGAGTAGCCGGCGATATCACGCCGATGTATCGTCGATATATGCATTCTAATGCGAATTCAGATTAATATTTTGACAAATGCGAAATTGTTATAATATTTATGAATTATAGAGGTACTGGTAGCGCGCCAGCAGTTACGTTTCATGCTATATAAGTATACTACGTGACATATATACCGGAAGAGACACGTTTTGGCACACTTTCTCTAACCGCGAATAATAAAGCTTCGTGCTATAAGAAGAATGCTGTTGTGCTGACAGAATAGTAAATCAACAATTAAATAATTTTCTTCAAGCAATTTAAACATAAAACAATTTTAATCTAAGAACATTTGTAAGATCTATCTCTTTGCGAGATCTTTTTGATTATACGGTGTATTCTTTTATTACAAAAGTGAATAACACAAAAAAATTTGAATTTTGTATTATTATCATAAATAAAATAAATAAAAAGTACTTTATCAATCATCAAAAGTAAACTAATTTAATTTCACAACCAATCTAATAATAGTTTATACCGTTCTTAAGCCTTTCATAAAGAGATTATAAAATACATATCTTCTATAAGAATGATACATTTTGGTGCCGTTCTTTAAAATAAAAAAAAGAGTTTTCTATAAAGAACATTTAAAGTTGAGATAGTTTTGGTAATCAAAATTTGAAGAAGAAATTATTTAAATTTAGTCATTTTAATCAAGATAAATACAAATTATTGGTGATATTTCGAGTTATGTCATTCCACATTTTTTTATAATTTTGTAGGATAATTAAAATAATCATAACTTAAAAAGATTGAAAACAGTTTTCTCTTTTTTTGAAAAATTCAATTTTTTAAGTTATTTTTTGAAGCAAGGGAACGATATTATTACGTGAGATCGAAGATTTGCGAGTAAGAATTATAGCTTTTTATCAAATGTTGAATGAAATAAAACTTTTATCAACTAATTACTTAGTCAAAAGGAACTACACTTTTGGGAAAAATAATTCGAAGCTTGTATACAATTCGTTTTCTTCTTCTCTCTCTCTACGGAAATAAACTTTGAAAGATTTAACCTCGCGCGAGCTTGCGCCGAGAAGATTTATATAAGTTGCTGTTACGTGATGCTATAACAAATTTAGAACACGACTCACGTCCTGCTAAACGGCAATATATGACGAATATCACGGAGCCTGAGGTGAAAGTTCAACGAGAACGCCGCGAGGTATAATTAGTTCCGGTTTCTCCACCCTCGCGAAGCTGTCAGATGTCAACGTCAATGTGTCGAATCGGACCTCTAGATCGACCTTTTTGAAAGTCCCCGGATAGATGACTAGCTCGCGAAAACAAAGCATCGCACGAAGATTATTCCACGATATCAGCATGACGTATTAATTCTCAATATCAGGGAAGTGATGTATATCACTGTTTGATCATTAGAAGAGATGAAAATGATCGAGAAAAGAAACGCGTTAGCACTGATTCGTATCTTCCATGTCTTAGACGTGACGTGACATGAAGTGACAGCCTTTGGAGATTCGATTGCTCTGTACATTGTTCCTTTTTAGATAACGGATCTCTTTGTGTGACTGAAGGTTTGAGTGTCAGTAATAGCGTAAATCGTACAAGATGAAAAGAGTTAAGAGAAGAATGTGTCAGAATTAATTTATATTTGTCATGTCATCGACGTGAAGTGACAGCTCGTTCAGATCATCAGGAAAGGAACATTTTTATTAACCCCCCGATTACCACAGAGAAATCGTAAGATTTATCTGAGCTCGTATCATTATAAAGAAATATTGAAAAATACAGTACAGACTGCTGTCACGAAATCGTCAAGATAAATTATAACGCTGTATGCATTTATAAATTGAGATTTATCTGATCCTACTGCAACAGTTATTTTATCCGAGCTTGATCGTCGCAGGTTTATATAAGGATTAAATTTAATTAGATTGTTACCCGGTGCCATACGTGAATCTTTATTAACGCGTGAGTGGTTAAGTAAACAAGGCATCGAGACGTCTAGACTCTCGTTGCACCAAACGCAAAGTTACCGACAGTCTCCATATGACGCACGTTACATAAGACGCATGTCTTTGTCCATTCTATGTGATTGATTAATGATAGCGAGCAAGGTCTGCTGTAATAAAGACGTGCGCGGCAGCTGTGTTTACAGCGATGTAATATCTTACAGTAATAGTCGCGCGACTTTCTATCGTAAATCAGTCCGACGTAATTGCGACGGCCGGTGTCTATTATATCCATGAATACAGGATTTACTTTAAGTTCATCTTTAATCCCGCGATGGATTGTACATTCCGGAAACAACTGATTCGATGACAGATGCGAGCACATTGAAGAGCATTTTCTATCAAGAATTAATCCAATCAAGGATTAATTCACTTAAGGATTAATTTTGTTACGCGTATGTTAGGGAAATGAATTAATTCTTGATTTGTTGAGAACGGAGATGGAAAGAGAGAGAGAGAGAGAGAGAGAGAGAGAGAGAGAGAGAGAGAGAGATGAATAAATATGCGCCACCACCAACCGCAAATTTGTCCCGCATCCTTCCAACGCTCGCGAATCTGGAGCAGAATTTCGCGTACATTTTCGCATGTTTCGCCGAGGGTATCAGGCTTATTAATAGCAATGTTTCTCCTAAAATGCAACGTTTATTCTTAATGTACCATGACATAACTACAAGTCAGTTACAAAATCGTGGTACATATGTCTCTTTGAATATATATATTTTAATACAATATAATATAAAATATTTAAAATACGCATGTGTATAATATCGTGTACAATAAATATTTACAACAATTTGAACCAGAGTAGTCCGTGTTTATTTCGAGGGTGAGGACGACAACGCGGGGCGGCGGCAACACTCGTCGTCCAGCGTCACCGTAGGTTCATGTATCGTGGATCGTCTTCCATATTCTCGTGGCGGAATAATTACTCATGGAGGTCGTGAGATCACATGCTAGACGGCGGCGCCGGTCGCTGTTTTACACCTGGTTCTCATCTTCCTTGGACGGATGAGCCGCATTCCACTCGAGAGCCTTCAATATTAGCGGCGGGATTTCCGGCGTGGTAGGTAGATGAGCACCCACCGGTTGGAAACCATTCTTGTCGGCCACATATGTCAAGGAGATCGCCTGGCCGTCGTCGCTCGAGTAACTAAAGCCACCCTCTGCCTTCATTGCCTCGTTGTCGGTGCCGACTTCTTCCAGATGACCTTCCTCATTGGCTTTGATTCC